TATTTATTCTTTCCTCCCTTATTCTGGAATGATAATGAGATACTGATAATACTTTCGTAAATCGGTTCAAGGTACGCCTTGTACCTTAATTAATAATATTTTTTTGTCAATAAAAAAAAATCGGTTAGGAGAATTGAAAAAAATTAATAATAAAGTAGCCTAGTTGAATTTTTAAATGCATTAAGTGCTATGAGTATGAGATTCCACTAGGCACGATGAAGTATGATTCCTTGAAATTAAAATTTAAACTAACAGAAACAAACGATGTGTAGCCATGCGTTGCACTTTTCTTGAGCTTCATGTCATGGGACCTATACTAACTTTAAAACATGAAATTAATACTTTTTTAACACGAATGATATTCTTTTAAACAGTTAAATTTAAATATCAATAAGTAAGTTTCAATTGATTTTTTATATACTAATTAACACATGGATTCCTTGGCATGTATTGAATTGAATGAAAAAGAAAATCATATTTTGGTAGCTTTAATTAAGTTTAATTAATTAATTAATTAATTAATTAATTAGGAAAATAGAAAGGAGAAGCCCTGTTTCTATAGTACATATCCAAATACTAAAATCACTAAACCAATACCTAATTGACTTTATCTTTTTTAATAAAAAAAAGTAGCATGTAATACAAAATGATGAATTAAACTTTGCAAGTTGTTCCCCATGCATACCCAAGTTGGTAAATAATCCATACACAAAATGGCATGAAACAATAAAAGAAATCTAGTTATGCACTCATTTACGTTTTATATAATTAAAACAATTTCCTCTAATCCTTCTTTTATTACTTTGTAAATTGAAGAAGCATGGGCCTTGCACCAATGAAGTTCATTGACCTTAAATTTAAATTGCCTTCTAAGAATGACAATAGAATCCTACCCGTTTTTAGTTGGGATCCACTTGAAGAACAAACCAATTCATGAATAAGACTTAAATTCTTAATTATTAATTTACAGCCCCAAAGATAAAATGTCAATTATTAATCAACAATTTTTTATAACAAGAAGTTCTCTTAACAATCACATCAAGTGTTGTGTATATTTTTTAAAAAGATACAAAAAAAGTACTTTCTTTGTATATTTTTAACAAATTTAGTCTAATTTTTTAATTTTTCAAATAAAAATTTAATATATTTATAAATAATAGTTAAGAAAATTTAATTAAATAAAAATATTCAATAAAAATTTTATATAAAAAATTTCAAAAAATTATTTAATTTTTTATTTAAAATTTAATCTTAAAAAATTAAAAAATAAAAAATAAAATAAAATTTATTAAAAATAAATGAAAAGAGTATTATATATAGCATTTTTAAAATAATATATATTTTTTAAAACTATTATAATTGTGAGAGTAGGATTAAACCCAGCACTTGACTAGGGAAGTGTGCACTTACTTTTCCAGCTGATCTACAAGGTTAAGTGCCCCAAACATAGCCTTAAACAGCATAAAAGTCAAACCTGCAGTTTTTGAGGCCATTTCAACATCCTGTTAGCCATTTGAGATTTGCCTGAATCTTCGAGGCTGAGTGTCGATTGCGTTCCTT